CTTACAAGCATGCCTGTATGCCAACAAACCTAACATATATCCACAATGGTCACTCTTCCATTGTTGCTAAATGTGAAATCTTCTATCAGCTTTTCTCTCCCTCTTGAGGGCTTCCCTTCCCTCTCTTCCTTCACACACCCCACCACATAACGGGGAGAAAAGATATAGGATAATAGCTAGCTGGGATAGATAAAGTGAGGGTATTGTGTGTGTGTGTGTGTGTGTGTGTGTGTGTGTGTGTGTGTGTGTGTGTGTGTAAGGATAAAGGAAACGTAGTTTTGTCTGTTAGCAATCGGGAAGAAGTCAATAGAGAAAGATTGAAGATTAGAGAGAGACTCGGGATAATAGAAGGAACAATCTACTAGAGATGAAAAGATAGAACAGGGTGAGAGACACAGGAGGAAAGGTTAGTCTTTGCAAGAAGAAATGTCACCTCTTCTTATGAGACAGAAGTAAAGGAGGAAATGGTGACAGAAGACATGTTAGTGACCGAAGATAAGGAGGAAGGGAAAAAAGGGAACTCCAGGCATGCATCCATCCATCCATCCATCCATCCATCCATCTCTCTCTCTCTCTCTCTCTCTCTCTCTCTCTCTCTCTCTCTCTCTCTCTCTCTCTCTCTCCCCCCCCCCTTCACTGAAGTATTAAGCAGAATCTTCAGCCAAGATGGTGGAGTAAGGGGATGCCATGTGAGGTTGAGAATAGATTAAAAATTCTGTAATAGAATAAAAATTCTGAGCTCAATAATGAATTAGGGAAAGGTGTAAAAGGACTACCTTGCTTCAATAAAAGTCAGGTGAGATTATTTAACACAAATTTGTACTGGACCCAGTCAGCAAAATAAGTAAGTATCCACTCTGAAGGCACTGTTCAGAGGACATAAATATATTAAAGTAATAGTGTGACCCCAAGAAGTTCATAGTCCAATGGAGTACATACAAATTTCAAAATGACATGTGCACAAGTTAATATGATCCAAGGCATATTGTGATGATGGCAAAAGAAGAGCCTAAAGAAGTTTAACAAAATTTTGAGAAGGGAGAGATAATTTTCAAATAGGGTGCTAGAGAAGAAAGAATCAGTAAAGGCTTCATGGAGGAAGTAGCACCTGAACTGAACCTTGAAGAAAAGGATTTCAAGAAAGCTACTTTTCAAGGCTTGATTCTATTACCTCAATATAGTAAAAGCTAAGGAGAGGAAGCAGAGGGATGTGGAAGGAGACTGACCGTGGTAGGAACTTCCATATGGAATCAGGTGCATTAAAAAATTAATTGCAGAGGGACTTGTTTTCTGTTATACTTTAATTTTGGTATATGCTTCCAAAGAATTACTGTCATAATCATCCCCTTGCAACAACAAATAGGGTATTTTTAAGCCAACAAACCATTTCCACTATACATCTCTGAGCATCTCAGAAAATAACATATAGTGAAATGTTATGGAGTCCTTAAAACAGCTACAAGTTTGTAGACATCAAAGTCAAATATGAGTTGTGTCATTTTACAAGTTCCCTACATGTTTATGCTTGAGTATCTCTCATCTTTTCCCGTTATATTTGAATAATGTCAGAACCTGAATGACAAGCTGATTCAAACCGCTACTCAAATTATAAGAAAAATAATCCCTTAAGTTTCTTCTGAACCTACTTCTGAATTACACTTCAATATTTCAAATATTCAAATATCTTCAGAGGTTATATTGGCCAAAAGAATGAATCACCCTGCAGCCAGCCTGGTGAGGAGCTCCTCAGAACTCAGTTGGTCTTAAGACCAGGTTTCTGAACCACGTCCATAGTCTCAAACTTTCTTTCCACCTTGCTAGGAGTTGCCTGGCATTTCAAGTGATTTACCTTGAGAACCCTGGGCCACTTTCATGATATTTGGTATTGGAGTGGACCCTGACAATCAATTAAAAAGTATTTATTAAATATCTATGAAGTATGGCTAAGCACAGTGCTAGACCCTGGAGATACAATTAGAAAGAATTAAATTATTCCTACTCAAGAACTGAGCTTACATTTTATTGGGGAAGACAACAGGAGAATGTAAGATTTATATTATATCTAAATACATATATATATATTACATATATATAACATATATATACACACACACATATGTATACGCACATATATACATATAGAAACAAATAGAAGGTTAATACATATTATATGTGTATATACATATATAATATAAATGCAAAGTAATAAAATATAAGGTAATTTGGAAGGGAGGTCATTAGAAGTTGGAAGGATCAGAAAAGACTTCCTGTAATGGTCCCTAAGCTGTTTAAGGAAAAGAGGGACTCTGAGGCAGAGAAGGTACTTCTGAAAAACACTGAAGAATTTTTTTTTTTTAACAACAACTGGTTCAGTCTTTTTGGCTTCCCCTTCCCTTGGTGAACCAACTTTCTATTCTAGTGCCTTCTCTCTATTAATTATGTCCTGTTCATCCTGTATTCAGTTTGTCCGTATTTATTTGCTGGTTTTCTCCCTAATTAGATTGTAAACTCCTTGAGGGCAGGGACTGTCTTGTACCTTTTTGTATCCCTAACATTTAGGGAAGTTCATGGCACTTAATTAGGCACTTCATAAATGTTTATTGACTGTCAGACTCATCAACAATCATAGCTTACATAACCAGACTAAGAATATGTTCTCATCTTACTTCCACCTGTATTATACACCTATATTATATATTTATGCTTATACATATAATATATAGTATATAATATTATCTGCATAATAAATAGATGAAAAAGTCATCGAATTCCACATCCTTGTTCACCACCTCTAAGTTCTTCTTCCATAGCACAGCTGGAAACCTACTGGTTCCTGCCCCTCCGCCCAAGGAGAGTTGTAAATTTTGAAAGCAGAAGCATGTCATCCTTCTTCAAGCTCTTTACCATACTGTACCACTGACCTCAAGCCCTATGCCACTTTTAGAAATACAAAGTTATTTAATATTTACTTAGCATTAATACTAGTACACACATGTGATACCATCTTTGTCCCCTTTAAAGTATACCTAATACTTTAAAGTTTCTTTCAGGTAGCAAATAAGGTTTGAAGACAAGAGTAGATTAGAAAATATTAAAGTCTGGCCAGATGAGTATAATACTTGCATTGTCCCAGTTTTTTCCACTGACTCACAGAAGGATTAAAAATACCCATATCCAAAGAAACCTTGCCCAGCCTTTTAAAGAAAAAAAATTATATTACTGTAGCTGCTACATTGAATATACAAGGAGTACCACCACCTCCATTAATTCAGGCTGGAAAAACTTATCACTAAGGAGAACAATTTTCAAAGACAATAATTGACCCCACTTCCCCCTACCCCCCCAAAAAAACCACTACAGTAATTAAAGAAAATTTTAAATGATCAGTATGAAAGGTGTTCTGTAAATGTACTTTGTTTTAAATGTAAGAAACACTAACCACCCACTTCCTGAATAGTTCACTAAAACTTTTACAGCTTCTGCAGGACCCCATTCCATACTGCCAAAACTTCTTTCACTTAGCCAAGAAAAGTGAAAACTATTTTTGGCATCCCAAAATGGAGCTATAGGCCATTAAATTATATTCAGCATCTAAAATGAACGGCTGCTTTTATGGGTTTTGAAAATGTCTAATCAAAGTTTAATCGCAAGTCCTGTGAATACATTAAATCCTGTAGCGAACTCTGGTGGCACTTTTGTATCCCAGGAAAATACACAAATTCGAAAAGATGGGAAACACTTTCCTTGGGGAAGCCCCAAGACAGCAGGCAATTTTTACACTGGATTTGCATTTGTGTTTGGAGGGAATCTTCTGTGAGCTGTGCTATTCATAACTTGAATGTGAAAAAAAATTATATTATAAATGTACCCTGTTGCATGAGGAAAGTAAATCCAGCATTTAAATGAATGAAAGGGTTTGCAAGCAACAGACTACTTCCAGGTAGATGCAATAGGTGTGTCGAAGGCTCTCTGAAATGTTCCTCTCAGTATCTTCTGATCCCTCTCTTCACAGGAACTTGTTCTGCAAAATCTGAAAAGCTCTGTATGCCCTAGGTGGTAAAATTCCTGGAAAACTTGGCAAGCTAAATTCAAGAGAAACCAGAAAAGGAGCAGCAGCAGTGTCTAATTTGTGAAACTCTGGAGGGGGAGGGTCTGCATTTTCAGACCCAGGTAAAGCTGGTAATGAGAGATTTAACAATTACAGACAGAGGAGGGAACCACATTTTCTGGAGCTGGGAAATTATTTGAGTTAAACTAAAGAAAGGAAGGGAGAAGGGGGAAAGGATAGGATAGAAGCAAGAAATGGAAAGGACTGGAGGTATTCTTGGGTGAAGGGGGGAAGAGGAGGGAGGGGAGTGAATGATGGGGTAGCAGAGGGAGTGACAAGGAGACAGGGTGCAAGAGGGGGGAAACAAGAAGGGGAGGAGAAGGAAAGTGGAGGAGAAAAATGAGAGGAGGAGAGGAGAGAATAGGGCAGAAGATGGGGGAGCTGAAGCACGAGAGAATGAGGGTAGGAAAATTGGGGAAAATGAGAGCGGGGGCCGGGGGAGAAATGAGATGGGGAAAAAGAAAAAAGACTGGGTAGGCGAAGAGTGAGGATTTCCCTTGCTGCTCCCCGCAGCTTCCAAATTCAGCTGTGGAATCTCCAGATGCTAACAAAAGAGACTCCCTCTGGCACAAAGCAGGAGCCCAGGGAGAATCTCTGTAGACTCAGATCCGGCTTCAAGAAGTCTTACCAAGTATGGGGCCAAAGAAGACAAAGAGCTCTGGGGCCAGATGCCTCACTCCCCACCCACTCCACTCCACAACACACACTAAGGCAAATCTCATCTCCCAAACCCGCGCCAGCTCCTCATTCATTTATTTCCCCGCTTCCCCCTACCCCAGAAAGATGGGAGGGGGTAAGCTTTTCACGGCCCATTCAATCACAACCTACCCCTCCCCGGAGAAGCCATAAGAATCCCACAAACTAACTCTCAGCCCTTCAGCAAACCACTTACAGGATGGAGGTCTGGGGTGAGACAGCAGGGACACTCTCCAGCATCAGATGCATGCACCGTACCGTGGTGCGGAAGCAGAGGCAGCGGCTGGGACACCCCCCATTGCCGCCGCCCCCACCGCTGCTGCCCAGCTGCGGGGAGACCCCCACGAAGACACCCGCACTCCAGAGCAGGAGGAGCAGGAGCCAGCGCGGGAGACCCGTTCTAGAGGGGGCCATTGCAAACCCGGGAGGAGTAGTCTCTGGAGCTGCGATTGAGGGGAGACTGCCAGGGGGAGGGGGTGGCAAGGGGGTGCGAGAGCCGGCAACAAAAAGCAGCACCCAAGTTGGTGCCGGCCCTGTTCCACCCGGCCCGGCTGCCTCTATAGAGCCAGACCGTGGCTACACAGCGGCAGCGGCAGCAGAGGCAGCAGCTGAGCGGATTTCCCCAGCTGCCTAAAGGGGAGGGGGGAAGGGAGAGCAAAGAGGTGGGGGAGGTGTGGGGGGAGGGGGGTGTCCGGCCAGCTGTGCACATGCGCCGTAGGTTCCCTCCCCACCCTTTACCCACCGAAGCAGGACACTTAGTGGGAAAGGGCAGGGGGGTGTGAGGAGAAGGAGGAGGGAGGAGGGGCGGAGCAAGGGAGTGAAAGAGACAAGTCTGCGTGGCTCAGTCTGAAATTTGTACGCGCAAAGCCTAAGGTTCCCGCTTGTCTCAATGAGCAAATATTGAACACGTGCGGTAGCTCAACAAGTTGATAATTATTTCGACATAAACTTCACAGAATGGGAAGCTACAGAACTCCTCGGCTTCCCTGAATGGCAGAATCTTTGCTTTGAAAAGAGATTTAAAGGGTCTCTTAATTAAGTCCCATTTCCAATTACGATTCCTCCTTATTCTAGCCGAGTTGCCATCCAGCCTCAACTTGAAGCTGTCTAGATGAGGCAGAGCCCATTGCTCCTGGGGCATCAATTTCCACTGTTGAATAGCTCTAATTGTTGGGATGTTCTTCCTTACAAGGAGCTGAAATCTGCTTCTGCTGCTTCCACCTATTTGCTTCTACTTCTGCTCCCTGGGGGCAAGCAGAACAAAACTATTCCCTCTTCTACTGACAGTCATCCTATTATCTTTCAACTAGTTGAAGACCTTTATCATCCCCTCCCCCTTCTCTCTTCTAGCTAAACTTCCTCTGTTCCTTTAGTCCATCCCTGTAGGCATGGTATCCACTCCTCTCATTAATCCTGGTTTGCCTCTTCTGCACAAGCTTCAGTCTGTCTTCATTCTTTCTAAAGCGTGGATATGGCATCCTTACGGGGAGTATCAAGCGAGAAAGAGCAGTGAGAAAGTAAATTTCGATGTGAGTTACCAATAAATAATTTTAGAAGGGGATAAAGGAGTCACATTAGGGGTACCGTGAGTGTGGTACCTTCAGGAAAGTACCCAGGGAAAATGTCACTTCTCCTGGGGAATAAAGAAATCATTACCTAGGGAGTCTCAAGATGAAGTCCAGACAACAGAGAGTGGGAAAGGGATAGAGAATGTGCTTAATTAAAATGAGCAGCTCCTACGGGTAAGCCACTGTGTTGGGTGCTGGCCATCCAAAAATTTTTTTAAATGATACCATCTTTGGCCTTAAGGAGCTTACATTCTTAGCATGAACTTTCTCACTGATGGGGAATATACTTTAGGAAGGTCATGGGTTCCTATGAGAGCTGAATGTCTCCTTGTTTGCTGTATTGTATTCCCACATGGCCCCCAATATCAAAGAAATTCAACAATAGATATAATAAAGCAACAACTGGGAGTAGAGAAATGTTCCAGGAGAGACAAAACAAAATTATATAAAATATATATGGCCTCATGAAGCAAAAATATAGCCCAGATGAGAAATGTAAAAAAGCAAACTACAATACAAAATAAGAATCCTGCCCCCTCTATTGTCCTTATTCTGACTTTTTGAAATGTCTCCCTACCAACTGCTTCCCTGCTGCCTACAAACATTCCCATGTCTCCCCCACCCTCAAAAAACACTGACATGATCCATTCATCCCCACTACTAACATTTCATATCTCTCCTGCCTTTAGTGGCTAAATTCCTTGAAAAGGTCATCTGTAATAGGTACCTCCACTAACTTTCCTCTCATTCTCTTAACTCTCTACAGTCTGGCTTCCATTTTTGTCATTCGGTCAAAACTCCTTTCTCCAAAGTTACTAAAAATCTTTTAATTACCAAATCTAATGGATTTTTCCCTATCCTTACCCTTCTTGATCTCTCTGCAGCTTTTGACACTATTCATTAACCTCTTTTCCTTAATACTCTTTTCTCTCTAGGTTTCCTTGAACCTACCATATCCTGGTTTTCCTCCTATCCTCCTACTAGGTCTTTTGCCAATTTATCCAGGTCAAGTCTACTAACTGTGGGAATTCTACAGGACTGTGTCCTGGGCCTTCTCTGTCTAAACTATTTCATATTGGTGATATCATCTGCTCCCATGGTTTCATGGTTTCAGTTATCTCTTTGCTGATGATTTTCAAATATACTAATCCAACACTAACCTCTCTATTGAACTCTGGTCCCTCATCATCAATTGCCTATTGGACATTTTGAACTGTATTTCCCATGCATCTTAAACTCACTCAGACTGAACTGATTATTTCCCACCACTCCCCTTTCTAACTTCTCTATTACTTTTTATTTATTTTTATTATTTTAGTTTATTCTGTTACTGTTGAGGGTACCACTATCCTCCCAGTCACCCAGGCTAACAACCTAGATGTCATCCTTGACTTCCCACTCTCTCTCACATCCATACCCAATTTGTTGCCATAGCCCATCAATTTGCCTTCATAATACCTCTCACATGCAACCCTTTCTCTCCTCTGATACTTCCATTTCCCTGGTCCAGGCCCTTATCATCACTTCATGCCTAGACTATTGAAACAGACTGCTGGTTGTTTCCCTGCCACATATTTCTCCATACTGTAGTTCACCTTCCACTCCTCTGCATACTCTGCTTTACTCTACATCCATCTGTCAAAGTGGTCTTCCCAAGAGTAGATCTGACTATGTCACCCCTCCATTTTTTTTTTGTGGGGAGGAACAGAATTAAGAAGATTTACTGGAAGACTATTATAATGGAGTACTTCAGGCTGGTGATGATGAGGGCCTGTTTTAGTGCCCATAGGAACTGAGAGGAAAGGATAGTCAGAAAAAGATATCACTGAGGTAAACCTGACAGGATTTGCTACTAATTTGTATTGGGGTCAAAGATAACACCATAATATGTCAATGGTATTGTTACTGACAGAAAATAGCTAAGAGATGATTGGGTTTGGGCAAACAGATAAGGTCAGTTATTGACATGATATTTATGAAGAACAGAGAGAATGCCAGTTTGGCTGGAACCAAGAGGGAAAAGGTGTGTCAATGCTACAAATTGATCCAAAAGGATAAGGACAGATCAATGTTCATTAGTCTGGCAATTAAAAAGTGACTTTTGACCTTGGAAAACACAATTTCAGGACAGTTCTGGGAACTAAATCAGGTTGAAAGGGGTTAACAAGACAATTGGTGGCAGGGAAATGGAGGTATCAGATATAGACAGCTGTTCCAAGAAAATTTATAGTAAAGAAAAGAGAGGTGTCACAGTAATTAGATAGAATAGAATAATCAAGAGATGACTTTTAAGTGTTTGGGAGAACTAAGCATATTTGTAGAGACTGAAAAGTGAAAGGGTGGGGGGAAGTGATAGAGGTAGAGGGAAAATGATATATTGGAGTAAGGTCCTAGAGGAGGCAAAAAAAGATCGAGATAAAGAACATAGGTAGTCCTTAGTATGTAATGGAGATATTTCTTCCTCTGAGACAAGGAGAAAATGGCCAATGGATACTGAAAAAGTTTTGAATGGTAGAAGCTAGTTAAGGGAGCTCCCATCTGATGGCCTAACCTCACTGAAATATTTTGTCTACTCTAAGTATAAATTATAAAGGAATTATTAGGGGTTTAAGGAGGAAGGAAAAGATTTAGAAAGGTTTCTGTAATGACTAAGATAGAGTCAATAAGCATGATATATGATTGTTGAGTGGCAATAAGGCCCTAGAGAAGGTTAGGTTACCGCACATAGGCTTATTGTTGGAGAATTCTATTTGATTTGAAGGCTTTCCCCAGGAAAACTCAGCACTCTGGGAACAAAAGCAGGGCAAAGAGATGTTGTGGTCATACAAAATTGAGGATAATAGATGGGGTGGCAAGTTAGTAAGAGGTCTAGGAGGAAATGGATTCTATGATCTTGGTTTGTGAATCATTAGACTGGCAGACCATGGGCACACTCTGGGTAGGGAGGCAAGTGAAGAGGATAAACTCAAAAAAAAAAAGAAAATAGAGAGGGATTAGGGATTAGAGGACCCTTAAAGGCAAATTGCACATTTAGTGTGAGGTATGAGTACAACACATGTAAGGATGACACAGGTCAAAGCTGCAAATTTCAAGCTCATAGGTACTGCAACTCTGTAAGATCTCACAAGGTACAGCTATGCTGGTGTGTGTTTGATGTGGAATAGAAAAAAAGCCATTGAAGTTAGAGAAGTTAAGGAGTTTTGTGGCCAAGGTATTAGAGGAATTATCCAAATGAATTTTGAAGCCCCTAAGGATGATGGCACAAAGCAAGATGATGGGGAAGACCATGAGCCAGGTAACAAATACACTGAGAAAGTTGAGAGAGACTGGGAAGTCAGTAGGACCACGAGGAAATCTGAGTATCATACTAAACCACTGGGCTAAAATCAGTCACTCAGTGAATTTTTATGGAGTGTCTGTTGTGTGAGGAGTATCATGGTAGGCATTGTGAGGAACCATAAACTCCTCTGCTTATACGTCTAGAGCTAGAAGGGACCTTAGTGGTCATATGGTCCAAATCTTCATTTTTTTTAAGATAAGAACTGAAAGAAGAACAAGATGGGGGCTGCATGGGAGCTTATAATCTAAATACATTCATAAAACACATAGTCAAAAAACATCAAAAAAGGCAGAAAATTAACTAAGTCTTAAAGGAAAATCAGGGTTCAAAGACAAGGCAGTGAGAAAGGACTAGATTCCAGGCATGGGTAACTACTTGAGAAAATACATTAAAGGTGAGAAATGAAGGTATAATTCTATCATCATAAATTAACAGTTTTTGAGGAAACAACTAGTAGTCCAGTGTGGCTAAATTGTAGAATACATAAAGAGTAACAATATGGAATAAGAATGGAAAGCTAGGTGGAAGCCAAGCTGTAAAAGGTCTTGATCAATAATCTAAGACTTGTCTTATGGGAAGCCATAAGACTTCTTTGTACAAGGACTGACACAGTGTCTCTCATTAATGTCACAGGTGGAATTGAAACTTTCCTGTCTCCTGATTCCAGGTCAAGGATTAGAAATCTAGAGCTGTAAGGAACCTAGAGGTGAACTAGTCCAACCTCTTTATTTTTCAAA